CACTCCCCCTCCAGACCTCCATCTGCCCCCCTCCTCCATCGTAGGGGTGGGACGGTTCACGAAATCCACGGTTCGGTTCGATTCACGGTTTCGTGGTCACGGTTTTGGGTTCGGTTCGGTATATGTTGATTGTTAGGAAAAATCTATCATGTCTTGTATAGTCGGGTTAAAACTGAAAGAAAAAAGCAGTCTGACATTTGATACATTATTGTGACAGTCTTAGGTTAAAAGTAGGTGAGATTCTGGCATTGCCAGAGAGGAAACAGTGCTAATTCCAACATGTGCTTCCCTCTAAATGCAAAGTGGTCCCATACAGCAGACCTAGAAACTGCTTTTGGCTCGCTGATTTTTATCGGCCACGCTGCTTCTTCTTCTTCTTGTTTCCTACTGGTGGTTGGCTTTGGGCGCAGTAGCGCCACCTTCTGCTCTGGAGTGTAAACGCTTCCCAATGAGAAAAAGGAGCAGCATGAACCGAACGCAACACACGCGAACCGAACCGAGACAGTCGAACCCAACGGTTTCGGACGGTTTTCAGAAACCGTCCCATCCCTACCCCATCGTGCTGCTAAACCCCTAAAAAAACCACAGCATCCTATTTATGTACACCTCTTTGTAAAGTCCCTGCCTCTTTTTGCAGGGTTTTGGATTCCATAGATACAAATATAAACATACCTGTGTGTGTGTGTATCTATGCATAGACTTTGTTTATGTGTGGATATGCATGGATATTCTCAAATATGCATATTTTAAAACCTGTGTTTGATAAAAAGCATGACACGAAAGCAGGATTTTTTCTGTACTGAGCTGTGCTTTCTGTGATTAGCATTATCGTTTTTATCGTTTCGATTATTAAGGGGTTTGTACAGCTTGCCGCCACTTGAATATTTTGTTCCTTCAGACTACTGCAAGGGGGAGGGGGGGCGGGGGGGGTAATAACTACAGGCAGAGTTTGGCAGTTTGGGAAACCAGCGTTTTTCCGCTTCGTCCGGGTCCAAAAAGTTAAAATAAAAGCACTCTAATGCAACGGTCCTGCTCCCAAACCCCCCCCCCCCGCCCCCCGTTGAGGTTTATGCTGTTTTCCAGACCGGTAGGTTCCACTTCCCGATAACTCCGACTTTGTTCCAGCGGACGGTGGTTCTTAGGGTTAAACCGGTACAGAGCGTCCACACACACACACACACACACACACATTCGTGTTTACCTTATATATAAGGACGCATGACGGAAATAGGACAAATGTTTAGGTGGCTTTCCAAAGGTTCTTAGGACAATAGAGATATTTGGTTTAGAGGTATTTCGGGGCTTCTAGAACACTCTAGTATGCTCAGAAAAATGAGGACATGAAAAGTGTCCCCATATTTCTACGCGTCCTGATATTGAAGGTGTGTATTCACAAAATTGTCCTGATATATCATGAAAACAAAAACACACACACACACACACATATTTTCCTTCTTAATTCAAGAGCCAGCAGCGAGTCCCTGAATGTAGCACGCAGACTGTAGGAGCCATGGGGAATCCCTCACCCTGGTCACTGTCACACAGGAAAAAAGGCCTGGATTTGACCCATCGAGTGACCGGCAGCTGCCCGGGGGAGTCGGGTTCTGACCAGCGAGGCTGAGAGGGTTGAGGATTTACTGAACGACTAGGTTTGCCTTCAATTTTTTAACCCTTTAAAGCCTGATCCAAGAAAAATAGGAAGAATATTTGGATTTTTAAAGTCTGAAGTCTTTCTTTAACCCCTTAACGATATATGAATTATTTTGATCAAATTAGCGTGCAATAAGTCAAAAATATATTTTGGTGTAGTCTTCTACTGGCTGTTATCAGGTATATCTGAATGTGTACAACAGGGGTTTGAGCAAAGCTTTTACCACTGAATGATGCAAAAAGTCTCAGATCCAAAAGACTTCAGAAACTGTATAGATCAGATATGATACATTTGGCATTATAGGGTTAAAAATATATTTTGCTTTGCTTTTCTTAAAACGACAACTTTTATGGGTAATTATCGGGGGTGAATTGGTGGGGGTGGTTTAAGGATATCCTAACCCAGAGGATGCGGAGAGTCTGCAGGTCCTCGAGGAAGTGAGTGCAGCTCCAGTAGAAATGAATGTCCAGACTCTCTGTTGAATGGTCAGAAGAAGCCACTGTGAATGCACGTCGTGCTCAGAGCTGGAGGAAGTCCGACATTAGAGCCGTTTTAGAGCATTCGGTTTGTGTAGGCCGTTAAATAGGACGCAGGAGGGTGGGTAAGGGTCAGGGTTAGGTTAGTGTTAAGTTAGGGTTAGGGTCAGGGTTAGGTTAGGGTCAGGGTTCGGGTTAGGGTTAGGGTTAGGGTCAGGGTCAGGGTTAGGGTTAGGGTTAGGGTTAGGCTCAGGGTTAGGGTCAGGGTTAGGGTTAGGGTTAGGGTCAGGGTCAGGTTAGGGTCAGGGTCAGGGTTATGGTTAGGGTCAGGGTCAGTTTTAGGGTTAGGTTACGGTCAGGGTTAGGGTTAGAACGTCTGAAAGGTGGAGGAGCTGCTGGCCGAGGCTCCAGTTAGGTTTAGGGTTAGGGTCAGGGTAAGAACGGCTGAAGGGTCAGGGTTAGGGTTAGAGTTAGGGTTACAACAGCTGAAAGGTTAGGGTCAGGATTAGGTTAGGTTAGGGTCACGGTTAGGGTTAGGTTAGGTTAGGGTTAGGTCAGGGTCAGGGTTAGGGTTAGGGTTAGGTTAGGGTTAGGTTAGGGTTAGGGTTAGGGTTAGAACGGCTGAAGGAGCTACTGGCCTAGGCTCCACTTTTCCCCACACTAACTAAGCTGAGCTCTTTTCCCAAAG